TTCGGCTCCATTCCGGAAGCCACCATAAGACTGAAAAGCACCGACATCATAAAGATCTGGGTCACGTCACCTCCAAGACTGCCCCAACCGGCTACAATGGCGATGGCTGTACCGACAACGTTCAGGGCAAACGTCTGCGAGCCAGAACCGATTGGTCACCAACGTGGCGCCAGCGCAGCCTGTGAAGAAACAGATCAGCGCGTAGTTCCACGGAGCCGTAATGGCCTCCACCATCGCCACCCAGAAAGCCTCGAAGGACATCACACCGCACTGAACGTTCACTAGGCCAAAGCGCTCTACGAGCATCCCCAAGGCTAGCCTCACGAACATGGTCGAGGCAGACTTGCACTCCGTGCCTGGGGTGCACACGCACTTGGCGAGCACCTGAGGCCTGTACTTCTCCTTCTGCTCAACCGTTGAGTCGGCGCCGCTCACCAGGCACGCATATGCGGATTCTGCTGCACGGTGCCACAGACCTTCAGCAGCGGCAGCACCATGTGTCGAACCCCGCCCCGAAGAGCACCTAAGGGGTTCTGGGGCTCTACGATCTTCTCCCGCTGATGGGAGCAATTCGGGCCCTTATTTTAAGTATTTTATTAGATATATATATATATAATATTATATAATAGTACATTATATATTGTAGTATATTAAGCCCAGGGCTCTCTTTTCCCGGTGGTTTCGTTTCAGAGAAAAGGGGGAGTTCAGAGGACGGGAGAAGAGGCCAGACAGTCTGAAGAAAGGAGTCTTTGCGTGTGCTGGCGGGTTCTGAGGTTCCTCGTGCAGGTGTGTGGAGCCATCGGCCGCATTGGCTCATCCCTGGGTTCGGGCACCTTGGCGCCGAAGTGGGATGAGATTTCTTTCCGACATGCCCGAAGGAATGATATGGCAATTAGCTTTGCAGGTGCTTTCGTGTTCCGTGGCATGGTGTCGCGTCAATCGAGTTCCGCTGGAGTGGGTTCCAGGAGCCCAGGGCGGCATCAGCACAGCTCGGCTTCTGCGAGCCGAGTTCAACTTGGCAAGACAGGCCGCCACGGAATAGGTGAGCAGGTCTCGCGACATGGTAGTACGGTAACCGAGTGTAACCACTTCGGCCGCATCTTCAGAAGATTATGTGGATGAGCCAAGCTCACAGCTCTGTTCGCAGGCCTTCATGAGCGTCTACAACGGCACAAGCTTCCTTGGAGCGACAGTTGCAAAGCACCAGGCTCACGAAACGGAATTCGCGGAGCTGAAGTCCTCGTGAGCTCTGCTGACTTCATGAAGTACTGACGTGTGTCAATGCTGTCAAAATCTATCAAGCAACAGGCCTCGATCCGCGTGTCGTGGTCACGGTGGCACCATGGACTGCGGCGGCAACTTTCGCAAGAAAGGCTCCGGAGGCTTGGCAACGTTGTCCCGCCTTCGGTTCTTCGATGATTCGACAGCAGGCCGTTGATTGCTTTGCTGTCGGGCGTGGCTGTTTGGACCTTCTGGCCCGGCAGAGCCACGCAGCTTGCGGTAACCTGGCCACTAATTGCCTGGGGTAGATGTGCTCCTCCGCTTTTTGGGGTTTTGATCTGCTTTCTGGCCACAGCCGGCTTTCGGGCTGCCGTTGAGACGGGGCTTCAGCGACCATGGGGACATGTATTGGATGTAGAGGAGTTACTCGGTGGCCCGGCGCTCCTCGACCTCTCCACAAAAAGCAGTGGTTCGGTTCCGTACGATCTCAGCTGCAAGGGCCGTTGGTAGGATTGTAGACTGCCGGGAGATGTCACGAGGTAAGATGCTTCGACATCATGCTTTGGGACTTTGCCGTGGTGTTGACCAGGCCGTGCTGTGATAGAATATGCGATCAAAAAAGTTTGCGAATGCGGACGTTGCTTAGTCTCGATGCAGGTGTTTCGACTAGTCCCGGCAGCTGCTCGCGCCTCTCGCATGCATCAGTCAAATTTAAGAAACTGCGCAGTATGTGCTGCTCATCGAGCACACAGCGGCTGTCCACAATTCAAGGAGTGTCGCGCGCTGCTTCGCGAACGATTTCAGCTTGCATCCAAAAGAACGGCAGGATCCGTTTGTTGCCCCGAACCAGCCAGGCGTCCCCAGCATCTTCAGTGCTAACCTGAAATGGATCCCGTTCTAGTTATTTTCAACACATGCTGGCCTGTTTCAAACAGAAGCTCGAGGCATTCACACAGGACTTCATGGACTTTGCCAGTTTCTTGCTGGGAGAAGAGTCCTGGAGAGCACACTACTGTATCTAATGAAGTACCAGCATGACCTAGCAAAAGAAATGAGGATGTTTGAAAGAGGCTTGGAGAGCGAATTCAGCTTCTGCACGTTTGCAGTGCGCCAGCGGCTTCAAGGCCCGACGGCTGCACGCAAATGACCACGGGAGCACCAGTTCAAGGAGCATCCCAGCATTGCAGACGGTTGCAGGCAGGTGGTGCTCTCGAGGTTTGTACAGATTGTGCAGTGTTCGTGCCTGAGATGAGAATGTCCACTGCCCTAGCTGGCACTTCCGTTGGCAGTGCCGCACTGCGCCGCCTTTAGCTGCTTTCCGGACGGGGGCCTTGCGTCCATGCAAGCCCTTGACAGGTGTCACGCAGCTCGCAGCTGACATGCTGTTGCGGAAGGGCCACGCTTTAGAGGCCCCAGGCCATGTCTTTCTGTGCTAATCGGTCTCGGCTTTCTGCCGAAGTGTCGGCGTCTTCCCAGAGATGAGCCGAGAGAGGCTGCTCGTGTCCCGTGGATCGCGCCGAGTGCGGATCAACGCGGATCGACGATCGCTTGCCTCAAAATCTGCGTGCAAAGAGCCGTCTCCGCACTTTTGTACCCGCTGGAGCCTTGGTGCCCACTCTGGCCGAAGGAAGGCTACGATGCCCAGGCCAATCAGCCGAGAGCTCAGATTCACGAGGTTTACGAAACCGCCGGATGCCAGATGCTCGGCTTCAGCGCAAGGTTCGGATACGTGAATGTCACCGACATGAAGGCTCTGGCTCGGTCTCAGCAGACTCTTCAAAACATGGAAGCGGCAGAGGTCATGGGCAAGCTCGCAGAATTCCTTGGCCTAGATGCCGACGTAGTCAGCAAAGAGATGAAGGCCGGAGCCACCAGACGCGAGGGCCCGGGGCCAGCAGGTTGGATTTGTCCAGACGAGGCACTGGACTTCGACGCCAACAACCTCGTCTCCTTTGCCGAGCTTCCTCGCTGCATCGGGACACTGAAACAAGAGATGTTTTCTGTCACTTCTGGGATTGAGCACTTCTCGTCCGAAGCACAGGTTCGTGCTCTGGGCAGACAAGCACACCATTGGCATCCCGCCGAAAGCTCAAAGAGGGCACCAGTCCGGAAAACTTCGTGGGAACAGTGTGACAGGCTTGGCATCGCCATCCCGGACAAGCGAGAGTGGAGGAGCCGACCGGGCGAGAGACCGGGGCGACCCTCCAACTGCGCTTTGAATCGGCGAGGAAAGGTATGCCAGCCCATTGGACGACGATTCCACCGCCCAGCCCTGAGGAGGAGGCGCGGGCCCGGGCTGCACTCTCCTTGAACTCCGCCGGTCTCCGCCGCATGCCGAGCCCAGGCTGCTCTCAAAGCATCGACGGCCGGCGTGGCCGTTGGCAAGGCGAAGAAAGCCAAAGCAAAGAAGGCCAGGCCATGCCAAAGCAGCGCCCCCTTTTTTGTCAGGCCTGCTCCCTCCCCGCGCCCCGTCGCCCTTCACCTCTCCTCGGCTTGGGTTCACGTTCGACTGCTTGCTCGGGTTAGCTACGTTGCTACCTTCGTGGCGTTTGCTGAGTGTATTCTGTGACGGATCACTGGAACTGCATTGCAACTGAAAGGGAAACTCGTTGAGCTTCTGCAAGACTCCGAGTCGGAAGTCATCAATGTTAGGACCGTTAGGTGTTAGGTAGCACAAAATTCTGGACTCCAAGCCGCGCGTGGCACTTAGAAGCAATCCGTTCTCGCGAAGCTGGCAGGCATCTGTGCCGGAAGATCCGGACACAACAGAGTTGGAGGTGGGCTGTGTTGGCAGACACCGTCAAGTCGCCGAACTCAACCCCAGTCTTAAGCATCGTCCACCCCGCCTCTGCCGACTGCTCTGTCTGGCATTCACACGGCATCTCTGCAGACGAACAGTCTTCCCTCAAGTGCTGGAGCCGACTAGCAAGCCGCTCACAGGATTCGTTCGTCATGCATCTTGGCGCCTCAGACTTCAAGCTGCCATAAACCGCTTCAGGACTTCATCGCTGCAGCCAAAGACGCTGAGTGGGAGAAGGTTTGGGAAATTCTGGAGAGACACCCGGGGTATGCGCGGAACTTAGCATGAGGTTCGCACGCTGAAGGCAAGAGCTGTGCTGCCGACATCTTGTATCCAAAGGTAAACATGCGACCTCCGTACCGCCGCTACTCTGCAATACACCAGGCACTGCGGAAGCAAAGTTCGGACGGGCAGCAGCGCATAAGCCGTCTGCGGTGTTTAGTCAGTACTCTGTTCAGGCATGCTTTCATGGAGAAGCTGATGTCGTCCGGAAATTCGTCGAGGATGGAACTATTATTGCGCTTGCCGATGGGTCTTAAGCTGCTAATAGCAGTAGGCCCAGTAGGCAAAGTCTGCAGGCATGCAGCATGTCAAGAGCGCCTTATGCGAGAAAGCAAGTGACGCCTTAAAGGAGTGGAAAGCAGATCCGCTGCTCAAGACCAAGGATGGGAGTGGTCTTTTGCGCTAACCGTGCGCAGAGAGTGCAAGCAGCCTGCAGTTCTCATGCCTCGGAGACTCGCGAGGATTCGGAGACTCCCGAGGATGTTGTGTGTGCCCCGGAGCTTCGATGCATCATTTTAGCTTTTGGACGTCATTATTCTGAAGCCGGTGAGACCTCTCCCGCCAATGCAGCATGCAAGGCTCGAAGTCGAGAGGGCAGAAAGTATACGAGAATTACCCATCACGGTTAGTACTATTTAGCAGAGCAGTCATATGACAGCAGGACAGCATCTTCGAAGGACGCAAGTAAGAAAGAAAGTCGATATGGAGGGACGAAAGCGTAAACGCTCCGAGGGACAACCAGAGGAAGCAGACGATACCAAGACCAAGACGCGCTTTGCTGGAAAGCGCGTCCTGGTGACGGGTGGAGCAAACGGCATTGGGCGCCAGATTGCTGAGGAATTTTTACGTGAGGGATCGGCGATTTTATTCGTTGTGACGCGGCCGTGCCGCATGAAATCGAAGAATGCTGCAAGAAGGCCGGGCCCATTGATATTTTGATCAACAACGTCTGTGTGCAGCTTGAGGCCTCATGTCACGAGCACAGTCTTGAGGACTGGAACAAAACCTTGGCTATCGGTCTGACCTCCTATTTTCTTTTCTCCAAGCTCTGCCTACCCCACATGTTGGAGAAAGGCTGTGGTGCGATTATCAACATCGCTTCCGTACAGGGAAGCCAATCCCAGCAACGCATTCCAGCATATGCCGCGGTCAAAGGGGGTGTCCTTTCGCTCACGAGACAGCTGGGGGTCGAGTACGCTTCTAAGGGCGTACGGGTGAACTCTGTCAGCCCCGGAACGATTGCAACTCCACTGGTGGCGGGTATTCTCGAGCGGGCTGGCACTACCCGCGAAGCAGCAGGGCAGGCATACCCGATGCGCAGGATCGGAGAACCGAACGAGGTTGCCAAGGTCGTTCTTTTCCTCGCGTCTGATGATGCCAGTTTCATAACAGCCGAGAATATTACGGTGGACGGAGGCATCACCAGCCTGGGAGGCTGGGTGAGATTCTCGTAAACCTCTGATGGAATCCAGCGCGATCGCAAGAGCCAAAACGAGGCTTCTCCAGAGGGCAGTTGCATCCGTGAATGGGAGCTGGGTTTTGTGCTTAGGAAGGCATGGCAGAATTGTACAGCGAGGCCCAGGAGAACGGCAACGACGAAGTGGTCACCTATCTCCAGGACGGCAGCGGCTAAAGGGCAAAACCAATCTGCATGCTTCTTCACGTCTTCTCCACGCCCAGGAGAAGCAAAGTGAGGAAGCCGAGTCTGATGAGGATGAGCAGGGGACCAAGATGGGGCCGGGGTGCTGCGCGCAGTTTTTTGAGGACATGGTGTCCTGTCGCTTCTGCGGCAACCTTGAAGCCTTGTAAAGGGAAGACGACGAGCCACCCTTGAAGATGATGCGGGGTGGGGGTTGCGAGCTCGTCTGGGCCTCATTAAGGGATTTGGTTCCATCCATCATAACACAACAATATCTATAGAATATAACAGAGAGTCCCAGGATCCTGAAGCGCTAATGGAGAAAGCGAACGAGGCGAGGCGAAGGGCTTGACTGCAGCGAGAGCAAGAATGGACTTCGCGATGCCATGGGAAAAGGCGATAGAGCATGCGAAGTGGCAGCAATGGGACGAGATGCTCGCCATCTTCGAGTCCTACCCAGGCCTCTGATGCCGACTTAACATGTGCAGAGTACGCGGTTCTCGTCGTGTGCATGTGCACTTCGGGTCCCCGACCCACGGGTCAGGCTGTCAGAACATGCGCCCGGAGTATCGAAGGTTTGCCGTCTGCCCCCAAGTCCAGTCGCTGGGGCCGCTTCCACGCGCCTTCTGTGGCTTGTAACTGATCGCGAAGCAGAGGCGATCCATCAGGCCGCCTATGCGGGAGACGCCAAGATCTTGAAGAAGATGGTCGACTGCGGTGCCAACCCAGGCGTGCACAGCCCTTCTTTAGCAAACGAAAAGCCGCAAAGCCCGGTGCAAAGGGGGACCTTTCAGAGTGTTCAGATTGCGCAGTGGCCACCGTAGAGTGGGCTTCAGCCTGTGTCGCGAGGCCTGCTGACCCGAGACAAGGCCAGCCGCGAAGTGAGAGCGCTGTGGGCTAACTCGGTGTCACAAGCGGCGGACGTCGGTCAGGAGACGCCTCTGCAGATCGCCGAGGCCGAGGGCAACTCGGACGCAGCCGCTTTCCTTGAGTCCCTGGAGGTCGCCCTGGGCACCCATGCCATGCCTGTCTTTTTTTTGTTTTCTCTCTCTCTCTCTCTCTCTCTCTGTCAGGTCTCGGCTGAGAGCGCGGCGTTAATCCAGGAGGCGCACAAGGCCGGACCTCACGTGGGCCTCCATGCAGGAGGTCCTGGGCCATGCTTCGACTGAGGTGATTGATGCTGCCAAAGAAGGGAAGTGGGTCCGGTCCTCTGGTTCTGCGAGCATTGCACAGCTCATGCTCGGAGTGGGAGCTCTGTCCAGGACAAAACCTTCGAACTCCTCGAAGCCTGCAAAAATCCAGATCAAGTCGTGAACTGCCGGCCATCCGTGCGCCAATACGGCGTACTTCATCAAGCTGCATTCCACGGCGACATCGAGGTGCGACTTCAGATGGGAAGCTGGATGTATTGCAAGCTTCTTCGATTTGTGAACAGTGTAAGCTGATTCGTAGAAGGATGCGTTTTTTGTCGGATCTTCTCGGCAGGTCCTGAGGAGGCTGCTGGAGGACTTCAAGGCCAACGTGAAGCTCCTCACCAAGGACTGTACCAGACCCTACGACTCATCGTGCCTCCTGTCACTTGTCGGCGTTAGGGATGAGAGTAAAGCAGGATGGGCAAAGCGCGCTGCAGATTGCCCAGAACGGCAGCCAAGAGGCAACCGACTAGCCGACTAGCCTTAAAGGGGAATCTCTCCTGGGATGTGACTCACCCACGATTCACAGTGCAAGAGACCGGCACTCCGCGCATGGTCGAGGCAGCAGCCAAGTATTTGGAGGCCGGAGAATCATGGCGGATGGGCACAGACATGTGGAGAGACTCGGCAAGCTGGAGGCGTGCGTGCCCAGCATCCAGCTCGAGGATGACTTCGTAAAGTATCCCGAGCAGGCATTGTCGACTTCGCGGGGAGAAGCATCGCTTCCTTGTCGTAACGCCGCAGATCCTTTAAGCAGCAGCCGCTGTGGCTCGGGGTCGAACTGCCACTGGGAATGTGTTGTTCAGGTGAGTTCAGGTCTTGAACAAGTCGAGGTGAGATGCCTAGGCAACACAGCACATTGCGGCCCACATGTGAACAATTGTGAACAGCTCTGTTGCACAGTGTCCCACCAACAGCTTTTGCCACTCACCCTGAAGCCCCTAGAGCCTTCAAGTCTAAGTGTCAATGCCGTAGAGTGACTCCAACAGCTGGCGGCACCGCTTTGAGCACAGCGGTCATGGAAAGGGCAGCTGAGACGCACATCCAGTTGGTGACACCAGCAGGAACTCTGATCGCCGATGTGGCTCTGCGTCCTGACGAAACCCTTCACGATCCTCGGAGTGAGCTTGCTTTTGTGGGAGCCGTCAGGTAGCAGGTGCAGATGCCAAGAGATCTCCGATTCCCTAAGCCAAGGAGCTGTATCGGCTCGGCTGTGCCAACTCGTCCTTGGATTCCTCCTGTGTGCTTAGGCACCGAGAGGGTGACACAGGGCTTGGCCAATTGCAAAGTGCAAGAGATGTGTGGTTTTTTGGAGGTTCGAGCTACTGGATGCTCATGCGAATCCCTTGCAACATGATGGCCTGGTGCGAGACAACGTCAAGGATGGTGAGGGCCTTGGCGTTAAGGGGGGTCTTTGGGCGTCAGCAAGATTGCGGATGCAGCGGTTAGGGATCGGAACGTTGGTTACACTGGCCAGTTGCCAACAGTCCGAGGCGATTCCGTGACTTTCGTTGCCATCGCGCGAGACTGGATGGGGGCTGTCAGGACCCCGTGAGCCTGTGGTGCTTGAGCCTTGTTACAAACCTTCCTCAAGCGGTTCCCAGGTCAAGAGGGATCCGGCTACCCTGAGATGTGCTCCACAGTTTGCACGTGCAGATCCTTTGGTGGTTAAGGAGGCACGCATTCGCACGCCCGC